TAAAATTGTCAAGGTTGAGAAACACTGTTCTAGGCTGAAAATACTCAGGATCTGATTGGCTGGCCAGTTTGGGGAAACTAGGCAGACCTTTGTTAGTGCACTTGGGGTGAATTCCATTGTTAGCAAAAAGGGGCTTTTCCAAGGAGAAGCAGAGCTGGGAAGTCCATTGTGAAAGGGGTGGAATGTTGAGATAAGGGGGAGCGTGGCCTTGATGGAGGATGCAATGCTGGGATTTCTCAGCTGGTTGTTTCCTTGCGATTAGATTACTAGGGCTGCCCTGGGGCTGGGCTTTGAGTACGATTGCAGGGGGCTTTGTCTGGACTGGAGGGAGGACGTGGGTTTGACCCTGGTCATATCTGAAAGTGGAAAACAAAACCTAACCAACAAAATGGACACTGCACCCTTCCCCGCCATTGTCTTTCAGATACGACCAAAGTCGAGCCCAGTCAAACCTCTCTGTGCTTAATTAGATCAAACCCCAAATGATCCTTCTTGCTACAGACAAAGCCCCCTGCAATCCCATCATGCCATGCCTTGTAATAAAATAAAAACCTTTGCTTTTCCATTGATAGGGGTCCCTCTTTCTTGTTAACTAGGCACCCATGAATCATTGTAATAAACATACCTGAGCGAACAGCCTTCCCTGGTGCAGATGCCCCCAAGCTTTTGGGCACCGGGGACCGGTTCTGTGGAGAAAGATTTTCCCATGGACCGGGGGTTGGGGACGCCTGTCCTGGTGGATTGCAGGTCCCTTCATGCTTCCCTCCCCCTCCCTTCCTCCCGCTTCCCCACTGTCAGGACACCAGAAGGAGCAACTAAGCAGTGTTTTCCAAAGGGGCAGTGGTGGAGGGGGGGAATATCAGATTTAATTTAATTCAGAATAGAGCTGGAAGGCTCCTTATAGGTCTTCTAGCCAAACCCCCTGCTCAAACAGGCAACCCTATCCAGGGGTAGGCAACCTTGGCTGTTTTATGACTCATTGACTTCAACTCCCAGAATTCCTGAGCCAGCATGGCTCAGCTTGGAAACCTCTCCCTTTCTCCTCAGCATGGCTGGCTCAGGAATTCTGGGAGTTGAAGTCCACGAGTCATAAAAGAGCCAAGGTTGCCTATCTCTGCCTAGGCCTTCTTTTCTCTAGACTAGCCATAACCCAAGTCTGTAACCGTTCTTATATGTTTTACTCTCCAGGCCCTTAATCATCTTAGTTGCTCTTCTTTGCACTTTTTCCAAAGTCTCAACCTCTTTTTTTGTAATGTGGTAACCAAAACTGGATGCAGGATTCCAGATGGGGCCTTACTAAGGCTTTGTAAAGCAATACTAATACTTCACGCGATTTGGATTCCAGGCCTCTGTTTATACAAACAAGGATTGTATTCGCTTTTTTTGGCTGCCTTGAAGCTATGCAGCTGCAGCTGTGACACGTGCGGGTGCTCCGGTATGCCAGTACAGGCCAAAGCAGGCCACCAAGTGAAAAGGAGCAAAGGCAGCTGAGGCAAAACATCAGAGGTCCCATACCACCTTTTCTGAGCAGGCATAAGCTTTTGCAAGCCACAGCTGAAGCCTGTCAAAGAGAGAACCAACCTAGGAGGAGAAATTTTCTAACAGCGAGAGCAATTACTTCAGACATGTCAAACACAAGGCCCGGGGGTCGGATGTGGCCCATGACATGGTTTCATGTGGCCCGCGAAGCCATCCTGGAAACAGTGAGGGAATGGCCCCTGCTGCCTTGGCCCCGGCCCAGGCCGCCAGGGAGCCAATATACAATTTTGTGGTGGCCATCTATGCTAAAATGCATTCAGTCTTAGCTTCACAAGGCCGCCTGGAAACAGCGAGGGACCAGCCCCTGCCATGTTAGCCCTACCCCGAGTGCATGCTGGGGAGGTGCCACCCTTTGTGAGGAATGAAGAAATGCACCATCGCCTGGAAGTGGCTAGCAAATGGCCCTAGCCTACTTCACATATCCGGCTTGGGGTTTCAGCAGGCTCTTCCAGTGGACCATGCCTTGGCGCTTCCCTTGGTCTCACCCCTTTCTGCCAGAGACCCTCAGATCTGTCCCACTCCTGCCCAGGCCCCCACAGGCACCCTTGACGCAAACAATGTAGAGCTGGCCATGCCCGCCCAGTAAGCCACACCCACTCCAGCCACGCCCACCTNCACATATCCGGCTTGGGGTTTCAGCAGGCTCTTCCAGTGGACCATGCCTTGGCGCTTCCCTTGGTCTCACCCCTTTCTGCCAGAGACCCTCAGATCTGTCCCACTCCTGCCCAGGCCCCCACAGGCACCCTTGACGCAAACAATGTAGAGCTGGCCATGCCCGCCCAGTAAGCCACACCCACTCCAGCCACGCCCACCTTGGCCACACCTACCCGCCCCCCCCCCGAGGACAACCGCAATGCTGATGCGGCCCTCAATGAAATTGAGTTTGACACCCCTGAATTACGTAATGGAATAGCTTGCCTCGTGGGATGGTCACTGTTCTGCCCCTGGAGGTTTTCAAAAATAGAATGGACAACCATTTGACTGAGATGGTATGAGAGTCCTGTGTTGAGCCTTGGGTTGGACTAGAACAGAGATCCCCAACCTTTTGGGCACCAGTTCCGTGGAAAGAGGTTTTTCCGCGGACCCGAGGATGTGTAGTTTTGTGTGCTGCCTACATGCCAGGGATGGGGCTTTGCTTGTTTGTGCATACCGGTTGCTGGCATGCCGACTAGAAGACTTCCAAGGTCTCTCTCAGTACTGTTTGATTCTATTAGATGTGTGAAATATTTAGATGTGTGGAATTTTCTAGAAATTGAAGTCCAGACATCTCAAAGTTGAGAAACGCCGACTCAGACTGATGTAGGATTTACACAGAGTTTGTGGAGAGAGAATTGGAAGACAGGCCGGTTATGCAAATGCAGGTTATATTTGAGACAGATTGCCCTTATAAATTAACTCCTAATTTTTAATAACATTTGTTAATCTGAAAAAGTCCAATGAGTCTCCGGATTCTTTTTGCTAACCATAGACCCACCTGCCTCTCCCCTTATAAGATCCACTAGGGGTAACACAGGGCAGAGGAGTTTGGCAAACACCCAAAAGCACAGCAAAAAGCCATAGGCTGGCTGACCTTGAAGTCCTGAACCTGGAGCCCTGGGTGACCCTGGAGCAAGCAGAAAGCCCTCCTATCCTGCAGGAGTCAGTAGAGGGGAATAATGAAAGAAGTCCCTCAGGAAACAAACAGAAAAGGTGTGAGAGTTGCATCTGCTGGCTATTGAAGGAAGTCAAGGTATTGACGGAGCACGCACAGACAGACAGACAGACGACAGACAGACAGACAGACAGACAGACAGACAGACAAGATAGATGGATGATAGATAGATGGATGATAGATAGATAGATAGATAGATAGATAGATAGATAAGTCGTAAGTCGAGGATTACCCAACTGGTCGTAAGTCAAGGACTTTCCCTGCCCAGGAGCGCCGTGCATGCGTGGTTCCACCCCCTGCGCCGGCTGAGGCATAGCTGGCAAGCGGCAGAGACGGAGCAGGCCGACCACCAGCTGGCCCAGCCCAAGGGAGGTAAGGCACCCGCCGGAAAAGGAAAAAAAATGGCGGACAAAAAAAATGGCGGACAGCCTTGCTTGGCGACCCCCATGAAATGGTCGATCGACCCCAAATGGGGTCCCGACCCACAGGTTGAGAACCACTGTTCTACAAGCTCAGGAGAGGCCTGAAAGAATGAATTCTCCCCTTTTAGAAAATGGGCATCCTGGCTGGCTTTATACCTTGAACAGCAGTTTGTTATTCGTAAGAAAATCATGAGAGCTTTCCTTAGCAGACAAATTCAATCCAATGCATTCCTCGACTTACAACATTTCATTTAGTGGCCCCTCCTAGACATCTCATCAGGTTTCAGTAACATCGACCATGATATCCTTCTTGGACAAGCTTTGGGGACTGGAAATGGGAGCCACTGTATTACAGTGGTTCTACTTTAACCTCCATGGCAGGAGAAGACCAGCTGAGCTTTTGCAGATTCATCTACTGTACCAATTTTCCATTGCAGACCCTACCCCTGCCCTACTCTATGAGACACAAATCCTGTGCTTAACTTTTCCAATTCAACTCCTTGCAAGGAGAAAGATGACCAGTTTTGAGCAAGAATGGCACTGGGCATGAACGTAGTTAGTAAGGCTAGGAGACCTGGTTAATTTCTAATCTGAAAAAAGCAATAATCACCTTTTTGGAATTCCCAGACCATCAGCCATTCTAGAGGTGCCCTGTATTTGCAGAGCAAGTACACGTCAAAAGTGGACGCTTTGAACTTTACCATTTGCTATATATGGGGTTTATTAGTTTCTGTATTGGGTTTCATTGCTGTAAACCATGTCATCATGAGTTGGGCTGCCATATACATATTCTTAATAAATAAAAATATATACATACATATTTATATCCTTCTTTATGACATGTAGAAATAAACCAAGACAGCAAACATATCTAATACAGATCCAAGCTTATATTCTCTGCCCAGCACGTCAGTTCCTCTTGACTCTCTGAAAGGAAAATAATGTAGTAAAATGAACAATTACTAGAATAATGATTTGTCTGCATAACTAGAATAATGATTTGTCTGCATAATTGCTAGAATAATGATGTAATGCATAATCACTGGGAAAATTCACTGGGAAAGTTCTGTGTCAGTAATATGTGGCTAACCAAATGCGCATTGCACATGGATACTTTGTATGTAGCAAACCCTTCCATTGTATGTCCATGAGAAACGATCCAAATGTATTACAATGTGTATTTCCATGTGTAGTCCTTTTGTTCCTGAAAGGATAGTATAAAACTGAAGTCTAATCCCGCCCTCCTTGTTCAGAATTGCCTATCTCCATTATGCTTCTGAACCTGCGCAAATAAACCTCTCTGCTAAACCCCTCTGGAATTCGTAAGAGTTCTTTCGTTTTCCACAAGAAAATGACTGCGCTGGGTCAGAGGAAGGAAGCTCAGATCTCCTTCCACATGTCTGATACGAATACATGTCTGACTAAAAAGAATCATGCAAGAAATTAAATGGTTAATTTCTCAGCTGGGTTCCCAATGAGAGACGAGAAGTTCAAGATTCCTCTACACACATCAAATTTTGACTCATGTGGAATTTCTTGTGTGCGATAAGGGAGGAATTCCGTGTGAAACACTGTCCACAATCTGGGCATTTGAATGGTTTCTCCCCTGTGTGTAACCTTACATGATTTATAAGGTTAGACCTAATACTAAAATCTTTTCCACAATCCGGACACTCATACGGTTTTTCTCCTGTGTGAGTCCTCCAGTGTATCACCAAGTCGTAATTCCGGTAGAAACATTTCCCACACTCGACACACTCATATGGTTTTTCTCCTGTGTGAATTCTCTGGTGTTTCATCAGGTACGAATTCTGACTGAAACTTTTCCCACACTCGAGACATTCATACGGTTTCTCTCCTGTGTGAGTTCTCTGGTGTTTCACCCGGTTGGAATTATGACTGAAACATTTCCCACAATACATACACTCATATGGTTTCTCTCCCGTATGAGTCCTCTGGTGTAACATCAGGTGAGAATTCTGACTGAAACTTTTTCCACAATCTGGACACTCATACAGTTTCTCTCCTGTGTGAGTCCTCTGGTGTATCACCAAGTCAGAATTTCGAGTGAAACCTTTCCCACACTCGACACACTCATATGGTTTTTCTCCTGTGTGAGACCTCTGGTGTATCACCAGGGCGGAATTCCAACTGAAACTTTTACCACAATCCAGACACTGAAATGGTTTCTCCCCTGTATGAGTCTTCTGGTGCTTCACCAGTTCAGACTTCCAACTGAAAGTTTTCCCACACACTTGACACTCATACACTTTCTCCCCTGTATGATTTCTCTGGTGTACCACTAGGTAGGAATTCCGAGAGAAACCTTTCCCACAATCAGGACACTCATATGGTTTTTCTCCTGTGTGAATTCTCTGGTGTTCCACCAGGTGTGAATTCCGACTGAAACTTTTCCCACAATCCAGGCACTGATACGGTTTTTCTCCCGTGTGAGTCTTCTGGTGTTTTACCAAGTCAGAATTCCAACTGAAACCTTTCTCGCAATCTGGACATTCATATGGTTTATCTCCTGTGTGGGTCCTCCGATGTTTCAGAAGGTTGGAATTATAACTGAAACTTTTCCCACAATCAGGACAATCAAAGGGTTTCTCTCCTGTGTGAGTTCTCTGGTGGACAAGCCGGTTGGAATTCTGCTTGAAAGTTTTCCCACAATCAGCGCACTCATATAGTTTTTCTCCTGTATGAGTTTTATGGTGTTTCACCAGGTTGCAATTCTGACTGAAACTTTTCCCACAATACAGACACTTATATGGTTTCTCTCCCGTGTGAGTCCTCTGGTGTATCACCAGCTTGGAATTATGCTGGAAACCTTTCCCACAATACAGACACTCATATGGTTTCTCTCCAGGGTGAGTCCTCTTGTGTCTCACCAGATTGGTTTGCATGCTAAATCTTTTGCCACAATGAGAGCACTAGTAGAGCTTCTCTTCAATTTGAGTCCTTCCATGAATCATGAGAAACCTGTTCTGAGTAAAGCTTTTGCCGTACTCCAAGCATTTGTATTGCTTTTGAAGGGGTGGATCCACTTGTGCATAATTAAGATGTAATTTGCAATCTGTGTTTTTCCCACAATAGGCAGTCTGTGCGGTTTTTCCAACACTGATATTCTTGGAGGCCAAAAATATTTCTAATCTCTTACCTGGTGGTTCTTTGATTCAAGCCACTCTTTCCTTCCTCAAAGGCTTTAATTAATGCCTGCCCATTTTGGCTATCCAAAGTACCTTTTCCTTCCCACTGACCTCCATGTATTTCCCACTTGTTCTTTCTTTGGAAACTATCCCCTTTGACTTCTCATGTAATGTTTCCTTGAGTTGCACATACTCTATTTTTTTCCAGTTCAAAACTCTGTCCTTGTTATTCTCTCCCTTGTTTCTCATTTGCTGAGGAAGGAGCAGAGTTTTTACACTTTCCGAAGGAAGTGGAAAATAAATGTGATTGATGCCTTCTTTTGCATTTTAATGCTGCTTCTCATTCTCTGTTGTCCAGAGTGCTCTTCTTGGCATCCTCTTTGTCTGTAAGATTCATATTAATGGGTTAGTTTCATTATTGTTTAAAGAATGGCTGCCAGAACACGTGAAAGCAGCAAAAAAACAATAACCTTATATTACCATGAAAAAAGAAACACCAATAAGTAGTTGATCACCAAGAGAATAAAACGTATAAAAAATTTTATTTACTAAACCAAGCTTTCGTCAAGAGCTCTTGACACCAGGGTGTGCAAGCCATTGTTGGGAGTCGCTTATATGCATATTAGTGGCTGCATATATGCATATTATATATGCATATTAGCGGCTGCATATAAGCGACTCCCAACAATGGCTTGCACACCCTGATGATGTCAAGAGCTCTTGACGAAAGCTTGGTTTAGTAAATAAAATTTTTTATACGTTTCATTCTCTTGGTGATCAACTACTTATTGCTTTTTAAAATATGGACATACCCAAGAGTCATGTTTTTACTTGTGTAGCTAAATATATATATACATATACATATACATATATATATATATATATATATATATATATATATATATATATATATATATATATATATATATATATATATATATATATATATATATTTCAAAATTTGGATTGCTAACAAAGAATTAAGGGAGAACTGGAATAGCCATTTTGAACTTTTTAGTTCTTTTCAACCAGACATACCCTTCTGAGATTCCTTTCTCCCATATTTGGGCCGACAGGGTGCACCAAACTCAAGATAATATATATATATTTCAGTGTGCAAAATGTCCCAGAAGTACATTCGCTCAATTTTATTTAATTTAAAAAGCGGGGGGGCTAACTGATGAAATGGTGCCCAAATCCTATGCAAGATTTAAACCGTTCGTTTTGCCCATGAAACGCCTCGCTTGCCAGGAAAACATGTCAAATAAAACCACAAGAAATCAAGTGTTACGTGAAGGATGAAGGAGATGGGCGGTGAAGAAATGTCAAATAGAAATAAAGATTTTTTTTAAATCTCCCAAATCTGCCAGCAGAAAATCACAGGCAGCAGCTTTAAATCGTGCAACCCTCGAGGAATAAAATTTGGGGAGAGAAAGATTATGCAGCAGCAGCAGCAGCCCACACGTTTCGGCCTCGTTGCTTCGCTGCTCGACTTGCTCCCGGCTTCTCCTCCGACCTGCCCTCCACTCACCTTCCAGGAGCCGCTTCCACCCTGGAAACAACACAAGAGGCTCCACCGACGCCATCCTCCTCCCTTGGGCGAGTCGGAAGAGGAAGTTCCTCTTTCCTTCGCCTCTTCCCCACGTCCTCTCTAGTAGTACTCTCTATCGTTTCAATACTCTCTATCGTTTCAGCAAGTTCCAGCTCAGTCTATTCCCCTCCCCTAGAATAGTTCGGCCGCCGCTGTACCGTACCTGCTTTCCAGGCGTGAGCGTTGCTTCTTTGTAGAGCGCCATCTAGCGACAGAAGGCCGAAAACCACGCTCGTCCGACCCCACCACAAGGCGTTTGCAAGACGTTCTCATTGTTTCCGGGCTTCCTTCTGTCCCATCAAGTCGTATTCGACTCCCACCGAGCACATCCATAGCTTTTCTCCCTGAGGATCTATCCCACAGCTTTTCGTTTGCAAAGAAGCGGCAACTAAACCAAAGGAAAGCGCCCTTTGAGGGTGGGTGGGGGGATGGAAATGGTGTACAAATAGGAAGTGGGGAAGTGCACCTCCCTTTGTTCACGCCGCTTTTTTCCTCTGGGGAGGTGGAGTACAAGATAACTCGAAATTTGCCTCTGCAGTTTAGGGAAGGTGAAAGACTGAAGCTTGATCCCTTGTGTCTTCTGTGATTTTATTTTCTTTTACTTCCATGTTTAGCTAACAAGCACCATATCTCCTACTGGTGCCCCATCCCTGCTAAGCAATGGAAATTCGGGTGCCAATTGCTCTCACAACCTGAGAACTACCTATATTTCTTTTCCAAGCTCAGGAGAGGGCTGGAAGAGTCATTCCCCCCCTTCTGCACAGTTGGCATCCTGGCCAGCTTCATACCTTCAACAGCAGTTTGCCGTGCATAAGAAAATCATGAGAGGTTTTCCTGGCAGAGGAATTCAAGGCATTGCTGCAGATTAAGATCGTTTCTCAGTGCAGCTGAAGAGGGGAATAAGAGGTTGGCAGCCTGGAACTTTAACTGACCCTCTGATTGGAGGTCTGATTTTTGCCACCTGGAGAAAGGGCTGTGCAGGAGAAAGACACCTGGGCCCTTCTCGGTCTGGGTTCAGTCTAGGGCACAGCAACAAAATTGCACTGGTTGCAATTCTCATGGACTTTTGGAGGCCTTGGGATAGATGGGGTACGACCATTTTGTCCCTCCTAGACCTCTAATCAAGTTTCAATACCATCGACCATGATATCCTTCTGGATTGGTTTTGGGGACTGGAAATGGGAGACGTTTCAACAGCCGGTTCAGTTGGTGCGGGTAGCAGAAGAGGGGCCGAGTCTGGGCCCCTGCCATTTGGGATTCCCTGGAACAAAAGCCTTTTGCTGCTGCTTTTTAAAATCTACATGAAACTGCTAGGGGAGGCCATCCATTCTATGACACCCAATTATATACAGGTAGTCTGTGGCTGAAAACATTTCCTTTAGCGACCATTTGAAGTTACAACAGCACTGCATAAAGCGGGTGTCAAACTCAATTTCATTGAGGGCCGCATCAGCATTGTGGTTGCCCTCGGGGGGGGCAGGGTGGGTGCGGCCTACTGGGTGGGTGTGGAGTGGATGTGGCCTACTGGATGGACATGGCCAGTTCTACATCGTTCGCGTCAAGGGGGCCTGGGCAGAAGGGGGACAGATCTGAGGGTCTCTGGCAGAAGGGGGTGGGACCGGGGCAAGCGCCAAGGCATGGTCCATTTCTTCATTCCTCACAAAGGGCGACACCTCCCCAGCATGCACCCAGGTGGCGGGGCCGATGCGGCAGGGGCTGGTTCTTCGCTGTTTCTAGACAGCCTTGTGCAGCTAAGACTGAATGCGTTTCAGCATAGATTGCCACCATAAAATTGTACATTGGCTCCCGGCTGGCCTGGGCCAGGGCCAAGGCAGCGGGGGCCGTTCCCTCACTGTTTCCAGGATGGCTTCACGGGCCACATGAAACCACTTTGCGGACCGCATCCGGCCCCCGGGCCTTGTGTTTGACATGTCTGGCACAAAGTGACTTGTGACCATTTTTCGCACTTGCAACCATTGCAGCATTCCCCCTTGTCACGTGATCAAAATTGAGATACTTGGCAATTGACTTGTATTTGTGAGTTTCAGTGTCCTGGGGTCATGTGATCACTGTTGTGGACCGAGCTGGTCCACAACTTGGAATTTCCTCCTGGAGTCAGGGTGCCTGCTTGAAGAGGCCGTGGCTGAGGGAGGGGCTTGGCAGATTCATTTGGTGTGCTAATTGTGCCCTTTCCTGGACCAGGAAGGCCTTGCACAGTGGGTCACTCAAGCCTTGGGCACCTCCTGTTCGGATCACTGCACTGGACCACTCAGAAACTTTTTTTAATTGTTGTTTTATCTCTACATAAAATACGAAGAGAAGTAGATATGGGAAATTAGGGGAAGGAAAAAGAGAAGAGAAAAGAAAATGTGCAAGGGGAAAAAAGAAAAAAAAGCGTTGACCTCCTACTCTTTTTAGCACAGTACAAGATAAAAACACTCCAGCCCCAACTTTTTGCTTTTACACAATAGTATATAACCAGCCATTTCTATAACAACAAATCTAGTCGATAAAACCAAAGTCAGTTTCATTTTTTTTCATCACAAGCATAAAATCCAGAGGTGATATCCAAATGAAAAGCATACTTAAGTATATTCTCCTCTTTGAATAAAATGATCAATTTAACAATTTCTGCTATATCTTCCTTGCTGTGAAAATTTTATATAATTCTATTTGCACCTAATAATCTTTGTGAACTATCACCATTTATATTAACAAGGTTCACTGTATTCTAACAACAACAACAACAACAATAATAATAGAGTTGGAAGGTACCTTGGAGGTCATCTAATCCAACCCCCTGCTCAGGCAGGAAACCCTATACCATTTCAGACAAATGGCTGTCCAGTCTCTTCTTAAAAACTTCCTGTGTTGGAACATTCAAAGCTTCTGGAGGCAGGTTGTTCCACTGGTTAATTGTTCTCACTGTCAGGAAGTTTCTCCTTAGGTTGCTTCTCTCCTTGGTCAGTTTCCATCAGTTGCTTCTTGTCCTGCCTTCAGTTGCTCAGGAGAATAGCTTTCTTTCAGATTCTTTCTCCTTAGAGGGAAAAAATTTATTTTTCATCCTTTTTTAAAATGCTAAACTTCTTTAAACACATTTCTAAAGTCAAAACTTTCTAATACATTCTTTTCTTTTAACTTCTTAACATACATGCTTTAAACTTCAGTTTTAAATTTAGGTCCCTTCCTCCAAACGACCCTCATAGAATAATATTTATTTTTTCTTTTGTATACATCCTTTTTAAAACTCTAAATTTTTCTTTAAAGTAGTACATCGTTTTCTTTAACTTTCTCTTCACACAGATACTCTCAAATACATTTTCAATAATGTTTTGCATACTTTAATAATTACTTAGGTATTATATATTTAGGTATTATATATACCGTATATATAGATTACTTAGGTATTATATATATATATATAGATTTCTTTCTCCCATATTTGGGTCGACAGGGTGCATAAAAAGCACTCAAGGTAATTCTCCCCTGTCTCTTCAGCTGACATAGTGAGAAAGAGCCTGTGGCCTAGAGGTTATCACAGCTGCTTAACATGCAGACAGCCCAGGTTCGAATCTCAGAAGGGTATGTCTGGTTGAAAAGAACTAAAAAGTTCAAAATAGCTATTCCAGTTCTCCCTTAATTCTTTGTTAGCAATTCAAATTTTTATATATATATAAAGCCTCCCTTTTTCTCAAGGAATTCTCAACCTTCCTGTGAAAATGGCCAACTGAGTACATGTCCAGGGAGGGATCCCTGAAGGATATTTCCCCTGGACTATAGCTCTTCAACTACTAATGGAATGAACTGGCATTCCTTGTTTCCTTGTTACCTTCTGGGAGGAGGCTCCGAGGTATCCGAAGCAGAACATCCAGATTCAGTCACAGCTTTGTTCCATATAGTATTAACCTTGTGAACTCTAAAACTTCCTCCTTCCATTATGTATTCAAGATGGACAGTGATTAATATTTATATATTACTTATATGTAAGGGTGTAGGTCTATACATATGTTGTATATAGTATATTTAAGTATGTTATGTATGTGTACTTTGAGAGCAAGCAACTAAATTTTATTTTTAATGTGTGCCATTGTGCCCGCAGTAAAAAAAATGACAATAAAGGTTATCTATCTGTCCTTCAGTTTATATGACTCTCCTGATTTAGAGAAGAGTCTTAGAATTACCCTTCAAGATCCTCTGATACAGCTAAGGTCTGCAAGTAACTTCAGGAGCTGCGCTTCAAAGCAACTGGGTGCTGAAAGCTGGGGTGGGGAAGGGTGCAATCTGTTGTTAAAACCGCCATTTTAAAATTTACTTTTTAAATGGAAAGTTGTGCCTTTCACTTCTTAATCACCTGTAATGACTACTGTATTAATCTTTACTAAGTTAAAAGAGGATCTCTTTAGTTACAGCCCGCTATGCCTTTTTGAAGACCTGCGCCATTTGGGGGATTTCTTGTGTTAAACAATAAGGAAGAAAGCTGCTAAGGCAAGCCAAAATAAGGAAGCATGGAGCGAAATAAAAAAAAATAAGCGAGACATAAAGGCAGAAAGTTGTGGTTTTAGTTTATGAATTGTAGTAATTTGTAGCTTTTTCTGTTTTACTTTGGATGGCTAACTATTTGAATTTTATGATTCCTGAACGGCTAGCAATTTCTAATCTATTCTTGTATGGAAGATGAAAATATTGGCTATTGTTTTTCTATGCCAGATTTAGGCCCAGGTGAACTAAATCAGGCCTCGTGGAAAAAGTATTGAACCAAAGTCTGTGCTATGTTCAGTTTTACAATCTGAAGGAGCTATTTGTAATCTAAACTGCAACTGTACTTTATTTAATATGATTTTGCTAAGCTTGCTTATCTATATATAAATAAAAATGTAAATGTTCGTTTGTTCAAAATCTTAAATCTCCAAAAGTTCTTCACCGATTGCTTTGAAATTTTGACACAACGTTGCATTCAAATACGCGCGTGTTTTTATATACCTATATTATATAGATGTCACACCTGTGACAGGTAAAACATGCTTTTTTGAAAAACAGCACCATCTGTTGGACGTAAAAGCAACACACGCTTTTACCAGACTGAGCCACAGCAACGCGTGGCCGGGTACAGCTAGTTTCAAATATATTTAGAACACAAGGACTGGAATTATGAGAAATGGGGAATTGAAAGTAGTTGACAGGTGCGGGTTCAGATGTACATGGGTATGAGGAAAGTTATGGTCAGCAAAAAGTCTGCAGAAAGTGCTAGATTGCTACCACCTGTCTGCGGTTTTAGGATGGGAAATGGTATAAGAGGTTGGGAACAGACCTGATTGATTTGCCATTGCCCAATAGCTATCATTATTGGATCTGCTATGTCATTGGTCCTCATTGCAATGAGTTTTTAACGTAAATGATGTTTATGTGCGTGTTCCAAATTATTGCTGAAATAAACCTCTGAATCTTAAAGTAAGAAGTATTGCTTTGTGTTGCTGTTTTTTTCTTTCTTTCATTGGATTGTTCCACACTTGGACCAAAGAGGGAGTCAAGATGGAGGAGCACATTATTAGAGATGTGTTTGAAAATTATCTAACAGAATCCACCAGCTTGTAGACCAGCTGTGTTCCAAGGATGATTAAAAAAAATATCTTCTCAAACTACTTTAGAGATGCAAACATGTGTAGAAAGTTACCAAACTACTAAGACATCTTCACAAGTAGCTGAAAATGCAGAGGAGTCAATTGCAATTTTGGAATATAAAGCTGACACCAACTTTCATTATGATGGTTTAACTATAAATCTATCAACGCAACGGAAAGAAAAGTTTCAAGAAAATCTGCAACTTTTTAAAAAGACAAGTTTGGGACTTTTTCTTTATGGACCACCTAGAACAGGGGTAGGCAACCTTGGCTCTTTTATGACTCGTGGACTTCCTCTCCCAGAATTCCTGAGCCAGAATGGCTGAGCTTGGAAACCTCTCCCTTTCCCCTCAGCACAGCTGGCTCAGGAATTCTGGGAGTTGAAGTCCACGAGTCGTAAAAGAGCCAAGGTTGCCTACCTCTGACCTAGAAACCTCAACTTAAGATCACTTAAAAGTGCAGCTGAATTGGGCAATGAGAGGTTGGCAGCCTGGAACTTCAACTTGCCCTCTGCTTGCAGCTCTGACTTTGCCACCCGGAGAAAGGGCTGTGCGGGAGAAAGACACCTGGGCCCTTCTCGGTCTGGGTTCAGGCTGGGGCACATCACCAAAATGGCATTGGTTGCAATTCTCATGGACTTTTGGTGGCCTGGGGATAGATGGGGTACAGCCATTTTGTCCCTCCTAGACCTCTCATCAGATTTCAATACCATTGACCGTGATATTCGTCTGGACCAGCTTTGGGGACTGGAAATGGGAGGCATTTTATTAAGGTGGTTCTACTTCTGCCTCTATGCCCGGTTCCAGTTGGTGTGGGTAGGAGAAGAGAGGCTGAGTCCTAGGCCCTTGCAGTTTGGGATGCCCAGGGCTCAAGCCATTCACTGCTCCTTTTTAACATATATGTGAAACCGCTAGGAGACATCATCCATCCTACGATACCCAACTATGTACAGGTAGTCCTTGACTGACAAAACTTCATGTACTGACCAATTGCTACCATTTTGTAAAGCCTTAGTAAGACCATACCTGAAATACTGTATCCAGTTTTGGTCACCACATTACAAAAATATGTTGAAAAAGTGCAAAGTGGAACTAAGATGATTAAAGGCATGGAGACTAAAACACATGAAGAACGGTTGCAGGATTTGGATATGGCCAGCCTAAAGAAAAGAAGGACTGAGGGGGGGGCATGATAGCAGTATTCCAATATTTGAGAGGTTGCCACAAAGAGGAGGGGGTCAACTCATTTTTTCCAAAGCACCAGAAGGCACAAGAAACAATGGGTGGAAACTAATCAAGGAGAGAAGCAACTTGGCATTAAGGAGAAGCTTTCTAACAATGAGAATAATTAACAAGTGGAACGGCTTGCCTTCAGAAGTTGTGGGTGCTTCATCATTGGAGGTTTTTAAGAAAAGACTGGACAGTCACTTGTCTGAAATGGTATAGGGTCTCCTGCTTGAGCAGGGGGTTGGATTAGAAGACCTCCAAGGTCTGTTCTAATGGAATAATTGCATATATATATGGTTTATTGGTTTCTGTACAGGGTTTTATTGCTGTAAGCTGTCCAGTGTCACACTAAGTTGGGCTACCATATACATTTCCTTAATAAATAAAAATACATACATATTTATATCCTACCTTTATTATATGTAGAAATAACTCAAGAATGGCAAACATACCTAATAGACAGCTGAGTTCCTTTTCTCTGGCCCAACACAGCAGTTCCCCTCAATGCTGGGAAAGGGAATGACCGGGCCAGAAAAATGAAGCTCAGCTCTCCTGCCTCATGTTTGATACTAAGACACACATGACTACAAAGAACAAGACAAGAAATTAAATGGTTAATTTCTCAACTGGGTGTCAAATGAGAGAAGAGAAATGAAATTTAACATTCCTCCACACACATCAATTTTTGCTTCATATGGAGCTTCTTGTGTGCGGAAAGAGAGGAATTTTGTGTGAAACACTGTTCACAATCTGGACATTTGAATGGTTTCTCCCCTGTGTGTAACCTTACATGATTTATGAGGCTAGATCTAATGCTAAAATCTTTCCCACAATCCGGACACTCATATGGTTTCTCCCCTGTGTGAGTCCTCCAGTGTATCACCAAGCCAGAATTCCGAATGAACCTTTTCCCACATTCGGGACACTCATATGGTTTTTCTCCTGTGTGAATTCTCTGATGTTTAACCAGGTAGGAATTCTGACTGAAACCTTTCCCACAAAATAGACATTCATATGGTTTCTCTCCTGTGTGAGACCTCTGGTGTAACATCAGGTGAGAATTCTGATTGAAACTTTTTCCACAATCCAGACACTCATACAGTTTCTCTCCTGTGTGAGTCCTCTGGTGTATCACCAAGTCAGAATTTCGAATGAAACTTTTCCCACACTCGACACACTCATATGGCTTTTCTCCTGTGTGAGTCCTCTGGTGTATCACTAGGGTGGAATTCCAATTGAAACTTTTACCACAATCCAGACACTGATATGGTTTGTCCCCTGTGTGAGATCTCTGGTGTATTACCAGGTGGGAATTCCGATAGAAACCTTTCCCACAATCTGGACATTTATATGGTTTCTCTTCTGTGTGAGTCCTGCGGTGTTGCACAAGGTGGGAATTTCGAATGAAGCGTTTCCCGCACTCCAGACACTCATACGGTTTTTCTCCTGTGTGAATCCTCTGGTGTATCACCAGGTCAGAATTCCAATTGAAACCTTTTTCACAATCTGGACATTCATACGGTTTCTCTCCCGTGTGGGTCCTCTGGTGCATGAGCAGTTTGGAATTTCTACTAAAAAGTTTCCCACAATCTGGACACTCATATGGTATCTCTCCCGTATGAGTCCTCTGATGTATCACCAGGTTGGCATTCTGACTGAAACTTTTCCCGCAATCCGGACATTCAAATGGTTTCTCTCCTGTGTGACTCCTCTGGTGTATCACCAGCTTGGAATTCTGCTTGAAACTTTTCCCACAATCCGGACACCCATATGGTTTCTCTCCCGTGTGAGTCCTCTGGTGTAGCACCAACTTGGAATTCTGCTGGAAACCTTTCCCACAATCTGGACACCCATATGGTTTCTCTCCTGTGTGAGTCCTCTGGTGTTCCACCAGGTGGGAATTCCGACTGAAACTTTTCCCACAATCCGGGCACTCATATGGTTTTTCTCCTGTGTGAGTCCTCTGGTGTACTTCCAACTCAGAATTCCAGTTAAACCCTTTCCCACAATCTGGACATTTATATGGTTTGTCTCCTGTGTGACTCCTCTGGTGTATCAACAGCTTAGAATTCTGTTGGAAACTTTTCCCACAATCCGGACACTCATATGGTTTTTCTCCAGTGTGAGTCCTTCGGTGTATCACCAGGTTGGAATTCTGACTGAACCTTTTCCCACAATCCGGACACTCGTATGGTTTCTCTCCTGTATGAGTCCTCTGGTGTATCACCAGCTTGGAATTATGCAGAAAACGTTTCCCACAATACAGACACTCATATGGTTTCTCCCCAATGTCAGTTCCCTTGTGTCTCACTAGAGTGCTTTGCATGCTAAATCTTTTGCCAGATTGGAGCAATGGTAGAGCTAATCTCCAGCATGGATCCTTCCATGAGTCATGAGGGAGCTGTTCTGAGTAAAATTTTGGCTGCTCTTCAAACATTTGTATAGCTTTTCTCTGGGTAGATCATCTCACCGATGGTCTGCAATCTTGTGTTTTTCTGACAATAGCCAGTCTGTGGGGTTTTCCCAACAGTAATATTCTTGGATTCTTCAGGAGGCTAAAAATATTTCTGATCTAGACAGTCACTTGTCTGAAATGGTATACGTTCTCCTACTTGAGCAGGGGGCTGGACTAGAAGACCTCCAAGTTCCAGTTCCAGTTCCAGTTCCAGTTCCAGTTCTATTCTATTCTATTCTATTCTATTCTATTCTATTCTATTCTATTCTATTCTATTCTATTCTATTCTTACCTGGGGCTGCTTTGATTCAAGCTACTCATTCCTTCTTCAAAGGCTTTAATTAAAGCCTGCCCATTCTGGCTATCCAAGGGACCTTTTCTTTCCACTGACTTCAGTTATTTCCACTTTTTCTTTATTCGGAAATTATCCTCCTTGACTTCTCATGTAATGCTTTCTTGAATTGCACACACTCTTATTTTTTTCCAGCTGAAAACTTTGTTGTTGTAGTTCACTCCATTGTCTCTCATCAGCTAAGGAAGGAGAAGAGTTTTTACACTTTCTGGAAGAAGTGGAACAGATTTTGATTGATGCTTTGTTTTACATTTTAATGCTGCTTCTCATTCTCTGTTGTCCAGAGTGCTCTTCTTGGCATCCTCCTTGTCTGTAAGATCCATATTAATGGGTTAGTTTAATTATTGTTTAAAAATGGCTTCAGTACATATGAAAGGCACAAAAATATCCCATATATTACTATGAAAAAACAAACATCAAAATTCTAGTTTAACTTGTAACATTATGATTCATTTGATATGCAGAAGACTAACAAATCCAAATATCAACTCAATCAGAAAATTTTCTGTTTGGCTTCAGTAAATCACACATATAGTGCATTCAGAAAGTATCCAAAGTATTCAGACCCTCTTCACTTAAATCATTTTTGTTACGCTGCAGCCTGATTCTACAGTTGTTGAAATTCATTTTTGCTCATTAATCTACACTCTTAATGACAGAGTGAAAACAGAATTTTAAAAATGTTTGTAAATTTATTAAAAAGAAAAAACTGAAATATCACATCAACATAAATATTCAGACCCTTCACTCAGTACTTTGTGGAAGCACCTTTGGCAGCAACTACAGCCTTGATTTTTTTTTGGTTACGACGTGAGCTTTGTACACCTAGATTGGGGGATTTTCTGCCAATCTTCCTTGCAAATCTTCTCAAGCTCAGTCAGGTTGGATGGTGATCATTGGTGGACAGCCATTGCCAGGTCCCTCCAGAGATGTTCAATAGGGTTCAAGTCAGGGCTCTGGCTGGGCCACTCTAGGAGATTCACAAAGTTGTCCCTAAGCCACTCCTGTGTTGTCTTGGCAAAGCTTTTCATGTCATAACCAAAACAAAATGGGAGACTCTAAAAAAATGGGAGACTCTAATTCACCAGGCCCCAAGCAAGGTCCACTTTCTGATTTGCTATCGTACGTCATTTTTCCCCCTAAGACACTTTCCTTTGACGTAAATGCAGCAAGGACGATGACGTCCCTCTTGAGAGACCTGAAAGAAAGGGATTAAGATAGATCAGGGGTAGGCAAACTGGGCTCTTTTATGACCCATGGACTTCAACTCCCAGAATTCCTGAGCCAGCATGGCTCAGCTTGGAAACCTCTCCTTTTCCCCTCAGCATGGCTGGCTCAGGAATTCTGGGAGTTGAAGTCCACGAGTCAAAAGAGCCAAGGTTGCCTACCCTTGGGATAGACTCAAGTGTTTCTCAACCTTGACAATTTTAAGGCATGTGGACTTCAACTCCCAGAATTCCACAGCCAGCATTGCTGGCTGTGGAATTCTGGGAGTTGAAGTCCACATGCCTTAAAATTGTCAAGGTTGAGAAACACTGCTCTAATTGCTGCCAAAGGTGCTTCAACGAAGTACTTAGTGAAGAGTCTGAATAATTACGCCAATGTGATTTCAGTGTTTTTGTTTTTAATAAATTTACAGACACTTCTAAAATTCTGTTTTCCCTTTGTCATCATGAATGTACATAAGATGAATGAGGGGAAAAAATGAATCTCAACAACTGTAAAATCAGGCTGCAGCATAATAAAACTGACAGAAGTGAAGGAGGACTGAGTACTTTCTGAATGCACTGTATGTGGGTGCTTATGGACACAGAAATAATGTAGTAAAATGAACAATTGCTAGAACAGCGGTTCTCAACCTATGGGTCGGGACCCCATTTGGGGTCGATCGACCATTTCACGGGGGTCACCAAGCAAGGCTGTCCGCCATTTTTTTCCCCTTTTCTGGCGGGTGCCTTACCTCCCTTGAGCTGGGCCAGCTGGTGGTCGGCCTGCTCCGTTTCTGCCGCTTGCCAGCTACGCCTCGGCCGGCGCAGGGGGCGGAACCACGCATGCGCGGCGCTCCCGGGCAGGGAAAGTCCTCGACTTACGACCAGTTGGGTAGTCCTCGACTTACGACCGGTTTAGTCCTCGACTTACGACTGGTTTAGTCCTCGACTTACGACCGGTTGGGGGTCACGGCATTAAAAAGGTTGAGAACCACTGTGCTAGAATAATGATTTGTCTGCATAATTGCTAGAATAATGATGTAATGCATAATCACTGGGAAAATTCACTGGGAAAGTTCTGTGTCAGTAATATGTGACTAACCAAATGCACATTGCACATAGATACTTTGTATGTAGCAAAACCTACCATTGTATGCCCGTGAGAAACGATCCAAATGTATTACAGTGTATTACCATGTGTAGTCCTTTGTTCCCAAAAGAAGGATAGTATAAAAACTGAAGACTAATCCCGCCCTCCTTGTTCAGAATTGCCTGTCTCCATTATGCCTTTGAACCTGCGCAATAAACTTCTCTGCTAACCCCCTCTGGAATTCGTAAGAGTTCTTTCGTTTTCCACAAGAGAAATACACTCCTAAGAATTTATTTAGGTAAAGAATTGTCTGTATTCCAATCTGCAAAATGCCCCAGAAGTGCAGCCACTCAATTATTTTGACCTAATTTTGAAAGCGGGGGACGCTAACAGATGAAACGGTGCCCAAATCCTACGAGAGATTTAAACCATCCGTTTTGCCCGTGAAACTCCTTGCTTGCCAAGAAAACAACCTGTCAATAAAATCACAAGGAATCAAGGGAGATGGGCGGTTAAAAGAAAAAAGAAAAACAAAGACGTTTCCAATATCCCAAACAGGGCTGTGGAGTCGGAGTCGAAGGAAATTTTGGGTACCTGGAGTCGGAGTCGGAGTCGGCAAACAATGCACCGACTCCGACTCCTACTAAATTTAGATTGGAATTAAAAAAAAAAGCAAGTTTAAATGTCCCAATTCACAAAAAGTTATAATTAATGACTTCTCTACTGTAAGAATAAAGACCAATGCATGCAGTGCCTCACGTAACCGCAAAACGAACACGTTAAGTGACCGTGAAGAAGCATGCTTTTCATGTGCTTCACTATATGGCNAATGTCAGTTCCCTTGTGTCTCACTAGAGTGCTTTGCATGCTAAATCTTTTGCCAGATTGGAGCAATGGTAGAGCTAATCTCCAGCATGGATCCTTCCATGAGTCATGAGGGAGCTGTTCTGAGTAAAATTTTGGCTGCTCTTCAAACATTTGTATAGCTTTTCTCTGGGTAGATCATCTCACCGATGGTCTGCAATCTGTGTTTTTCTGACAATAGCCAGTCTGTGGGGTTTTCCCAACAGTGATATTCTTGGATTCTTCAGGAGGCTAAAAATATTTCTGATCTAGACAGTCACTTGTCTGAAATGGTATAGGTTCTCCTGCTTGAGCAGGGGGCTGGACTAGAAGACCTCCAAGTTCCTATTCTATTCTATTCTATTCTATTCTATTCCTTATTCTATTCTATTCTATTCTATTCTATTCTATTCTATTCTATTCTATTCTATTCTATTCTATTCTTACCTGGGGCTGCTTTGATTCAAGCCACTCATTCCTTCCTCAAAGGCTTTAATTAAAACCTGCCCATTCTGGCTATCCAAGGGACCTTTTCTTTCCACTGACTTCAGTTATTTCCACTTTTTCTTTATTCGGAAATTATCCTCCTTGACTTCTCATGTAATGCTTTCTTGAATTGCACAAACTCTTATTTTTTTCCAGCTGAAAACTTTGTTGTTGTAGTTCACTCCATTGTCTCTCATCAGCTAAGGAAGGAGAAGAGTTTTTACACTTTCTGGAAGAAGTGGAACAGATTTTGATTGATGCTTTGTTTTACATTTTAATGCTGCTTCTCATTCTCTGTTGTCCAGAGTGCTCTTCTTGGCATCCTCCTTGTCTGTAAGATCCATATTAATGGGTTAGTTTAATTATTGTTTAAAAAATGGCTTCAGTACATATGAAAGGCGCAAAAATATCCCATATATTACTATGAAAAAACAAACATCAAAATTCTAGTTTAACCTGTAACATTATGATTCATTTGATATGCAGAAGACTAACAGATCCAAATATCAACTCAATCAGAAAATTTTCTGTTTGGCTTCAGTAAATCACACGTATAGTGCATTCAGAAAATATCCAAAGTATTCAGACCCTCTTCACTTCTATCAATTTTGTTACGCTGCAGCCTGATTCTACAGTTGTTGAAATTCATTTTTGCTCATTAATCTACACTCTTAATGACACAGTGAAAACAGAATTTTAAATATGTTTGTAAATTTATTAAAAAGAAAAAAACTGAAATATCACATCGACATAAGTATTCAGACCCTTCACTCAGTACTTTGTGGAAGCACCTTTGGCAGCAACTACAGCCTTGACTTATTTTGGTTACGACCTGAGCTTTGTACACCTAGATTGGGGGATTTTCTGCCATTCTTCCTTGCAAATCTTCTCAAGCTCAGTCAGGTTGGATGGTGATCATTGGT